AGCCGTTCGTAATAGATTTTCTTGCGGTCAGCATCCATCAACTGTCCTACAATCTAGAAAAAACCGAATAATTTGTGGAAGATATTAGAAAATACATAAAAACAGCAAATTATTTTTAAATAAATAAATCAATCGACTGCCCGCCATCGCTAACAGTAAAGTGGGAAAAAATAATTGTGTTAAGGTATGCACATTCTATGGGCTAGTCATTGAACCTCAGCGAGACAACAAATAGAGCGTAAAACTCTATATAATTGTACTTTTGTAGCGCAGCTATCGAGTTGCGCCCAGAGCAAAATTGCAGTTAATAAAGGCGTTTGGAATTACAGTGCGCTCATGTGAACTCGTTGTATGCAAATCGACGCCGCTGAGCTCGACTGTGTTTTGTTGTTGTTAGTGATTATTTGCACTTACATTGGCAATGCGTTTCCCGCTCTTCTGTTCATTTTTCATGCGAGCAAATGTGTGGTAGTATGAAGCAACATATGTCAAGATGGACTTCTCATCCGGACGTGCAGAGTCCACATCTTCGGCATCTAATAAGCTACAAGAATTTGATACAAATGAATTCTAGTACCAGATGAGGGTTAAGCGAACGCGCGAACTTACCTTGGTATACCCAGTTCGGAAGCAGCCAAATCGAAGGCATGATTCAGATTGTCAATATTCGAGTTCTTCGAGTTAACAATTGTGCTGTACTCAAAGAGATCGGGCCGATGTGAATGTATAAGCGCATTGAAGCCCAGACCCGAACGCCAGGAGGATGTGAAATCTTGTATATTAACACCGGGGTAACCATGCGTTTTACGCTGGCACCACAACAGCAGGGCATCTTTCGCCGAACGCTTCTCGGATGATTCATTTTCTTCATCCTGCCAGTCACAAGAAGATATAATTAATAATTAAATGGAGTATAGGCGTATACAATGGATATATGGCGCCCGTTTAGTGAAGCATAACAAACGAATCGCAAAACTTACCACATCAATTTCAATTTCTTGTATTTGAAACCGCAAAATGATGGTCCAAATTAAACCCAAAATCAATCTGGGATTTCCGTCGACAATATCCTCAGCACCGATTGATTCTAAGCGAACCTGAAAGAGAAGGTATATTCTTTTTATATGTAAGTTTCTTTTAACAAATCAAAATTCCTGACTCCTTCCTGACTTGACTGCTCAGACTGCCTAAAGGCAGAAATTTTGGAAAGCAACGAACATTAACTCTTAGGAACGTTTTCTGGTAGGAAAATATTTCAATTTGTTAGCGGATCATTATTATTAAGTACTAGAACAACACTCTTGCGGTTGAGAAGTAGCTAGATCTGTTGTACTAACCCCTAAGAAGCCACTTGCTTTGGAGGGTGTCATGTTGTAGATTCCGGATGGAGATATTCATTCTCCAAGCTGTTTAAGTTTAACACTACTAGTACGTGGCTAGTTACATATTACTTTGTCTGGGGTTTCTCCGCTAGCCAACAAAACCTGCAGTCCTTCTGCTCAGATAGAGTCATTTTTTAAGAAGAATTGTACCTTACCCTACAGTATCCTGTCAGGTATCCAGTGAGAGTTCTTAGATCCTCCATGCTCAGTTAAAGCAGTCTCTCAGATCTACTATACTAACCCTTGAATTATATTTTGTTTTGCCATTTGACGTACGCCAGTGCTCTACCTTCTTAGATGCTCCGCCATTTTGTTGTAGCGGAACTACTGAGCCCCACTTGGTCGATTTATCTATCAATCGTTGTCGTCAAGCTCAACGAACGGTAAGTCCAAGAAACGAGCTGTTTCGACGGGGTAGGACCAAAGGGAGAGGGGTTTTAGCTGAATGGGATTGAGCTGACATCCTTTGAATGGACCTGAAAGACTGTAGACCATACAGCACCCGTATTTCGCCATTTCGTTTTCTAAATGTCAACTAGCCTTGCGTCCAAAGCTATCAATTCATTGCTGCCTAGCTGGCCGGCATGACGTTAAAGGGTACCACATTAGTCCTTCTAATATGAATACATATACGTTATACGATCGCAAATTTTGGTCCATCAGTGCACCTAACTGGGACTCTTTCGCCAATCGTTGGGATTATCGCTTTACAAGAGTCTCTTCCATCAATTATTGCCTTGTGGAGACTAATAAAGGATAACTGTGGTAACATTGCGTCAGTAAATTTGACAACGGGATAATGGGGTTGCTTTTAAGACATGAGATGGCCCCCTAAGTCTCCACTTTTCATGCTGCTGGTTGAATACATACAACCGTTTGTCGATATTAAATGAATGAAACTAATGAAATTATCTAATTTTCTAAGATTAAAGGTTTTTAAGAAATCGTTGCCAAATTAAACAAAGATCTTTCATCTAAGAGGCTTTTGGGTTATCTGGACAAATTTCCATACAGTTTAGAAGAACCAAATATGTACACTTCAGAATAATAATCAAACAACTAGATAACCTAACAGCCAGCAAAGTGTGAACACCTACAATGTATGTACATTCATCTACAGTTGTAAATGTCAATATTGTTTTTTTTGGTTACAAACTTTTGAAAGTAAGATTTTGATACTTTCTCGGGGAAAAGCAATAACTCTATGCGGTAAATCTATACGTTTACGGAATACATAAATACGAGAAACAAATGAAGTTAAGTGAAAACTGACGTGACAGCAGCTAGGTGCACCACTCTGATGACAGCCAAATAGGTACAAAACAAGTGAGCAGCAGATAAACCGTTAAGTAAAAACTTTCACTAATACGAGTACGCAGGGATATGAATATACATATGTACAAGTATTACATACATACATATGTGCATATGTTACTTACAGCTTACTTACAGCTTTGATAACAAACTCTCATCGGCAAATAAACTATTTAAACATTTATTGGTACACCGCCCCATCATTTCTCTCCTGCTACTTAACATTTAAAGTGCTAAACGGCAAACCGGCCGCATCCCATAACAATAAACGCTAATCGAAGCACTGTTTTAATTAGATTAAGTTAAGTAAAAATCCGTTGCAAGACATACATACATAGCAGCGAAAATTGGGGCCACACAATTTGCAACAACAGCTGAGTGCATCGGCAGCAAAAAAAATAGAAACACACATACATACGTTCATACAAATATACATACATATGTACATATGTGTATGTATGCGCTATGCGGTCTGCATAAATGGGCGAGACCGGCTTGGCAAGAAGTGTGTCGCACGCTACGCGCCAACGCTTCAAGCCAACTGTAATGGCACAGCCGTGAATATAAAATTGTAGAAACCTTGTAGCAAATCGGACTGTCTCACGACTAGCTCTGAACGGGACTACTCTTGGAGGTGGTGGATGTGAAAAGAGCTACTTATTAACTCTTCAACACATCGCTGCACACCAGTTCTATTTTATGAATTGTGAATATCAAATTTTACATCTCACTATACCAATTTTTTGACATTTAAAGAAAACAGATTTTTATTTACTTGCATATGATTTTCCGTATTTTTGCAAAAAACAGAAAAAAAACTTAACCCTTGTCGACCGAGGGGTCTAAAGGGGTAACTTTTTAATTTCGAAATATTTTTATTAAAGAAAAAATGCCAGTCACAGATCATACAGTCGCTATTTTAGTAAAATGCTGGGAAATCATATAAATTTCAATTGAAGGCTCTGAGCGATACATATATTTTTCTCACAAAAAAATAAAAATAAAAAATTATGAGAAGCTAATTTTCATGGCAGAAATACACCCGGAGATTTGCCAACGCCTGCCCTATAGTATTGCTAACATTAAAAGATCATACGGCCAGATTAAAACCATTTTAGAGAAAAACCAAACAAAGCAACTTGGTTTCGCAAATTCCAAAAAATCAATTAAAAAGATTGAGAACCAAGGCGTAACCGTTTTTCTTCATAAAAAATATATGCCTTTTTTTAGTGTTTTACAACTAACCGGACGGATATTTTCTTTCTAACGCACAGTGGTCAGAGAGTGGCAGAAAGCCCAAGATTCTAAATGTCTCGAAATGTGTAACTAACAGGCCTATTCTGCGTAGTTAAACGATCGGTTGTAGTTGGATTCGCCTCTATCTGTTTTCACCATGTTTCATTGTCCTTTCTGAGTTGCAAACATTTATATGGTTTCAGTGAGTTCCTGGAGAGTATAAGTATCGTGCGGTGCCCTGTGAAAGGTTATTGGTACAAAAATACTATAAAGACAGTAAACTAATAACAGACTGAACGCTTCACAATGTCAGACTCCCACATAAGCTGCCCCACAATTTATGTAGTAATCGAGATCCGATTTTACTGGAATTTGTTATGCAGTGTTCTTGCCTAGGAATGAAGAAGTATAGAAAATTATTGGGGAACTTTCGCGCCCGCTACCTAAGGAGGCAGACATGATATATTCGATATTATCCGGTTTAAAGAGAATTTGTTCTTATATGGTAGGACAATTTTGACCATCTTCCAGATTATACATTTTCCGGTTAAAACAAAGCCATAAGACGAATTTCATTAAAATCGGATAACATATACAATTTCCTCCCTCTAGTATTGTGGGCGGGCGTGGCAGTTTTCCAATCTATGCGATTTTTCAGATTTCTTTATTGCTAAGCAAAGTTAACAAATTACAGCAAAATCGAAGCAATATATGTTATTCCACTGCGCAACGCTTTGTTTAGGACTCAATAGCTCCAGGCTAAATTTCCTCATTGAGGAAAAATTTTTCTGGTAATGGAATAATGGATTGTCTTCACAGCTGTCAGGCTCTAGACTTATAAACCTTAACTGACTTGAGCACTTTTGTCGCTGTACAGTTTATACTATCTTCTAATTAGGCTAAATGCTATTCGTGTTAAGATAAGATTTAGATTGCAAAAGCTTTACAGAGCTATCAATTCAGATGCAATTGAAGATTTAATTTTTATATTTTGCAAGCGCTGCTTGATAAATTCGTATAAATTTGTACATATGTATGTATGTACGCATAAACAAATAAAAGGTTTTGCGGCCAAACAGCAAAATGTATTTGTACCCTGCAGGGAAAGCTACTAGTTGGAACTAGAATTCTACTGGTATTTTTAAGATTGCGATGTCCTACGAGATGTAAATTGTCAGGCTATGCATCAGCATCTACTAGTATAAATACTAGTAGCATCATACCAGTTGATGAGATAGTCTGCCAATTCATGCCCCGTGAAAAGCATAAGTGTGCCTTTTTGCTCGCGACGCTCCAGCAGTCACAATGGCCGACAGAGAAGAGCACTCGCGTGGTAAGCCTGAGGTCCCAGGTTCAAATCCTGGCGCAGGTAAAAATTTTTTATTTTCTATTTTTTATTTTATTTTTATTTTTTATAAATTTATTTTTTTGTTTATGCTGTTTATTGTAATTTTTTAATTTAATAAAAAAAATATTTTTGTTTAATTTCTTTGTTTTTATATTTCTCCCTAAATGTTTTTTTGCAACGCAATTAGATTTTCAAATTTGTTATTTATTTATAAGATGAATAAATTATTTTTACTTACATTTATTTAACTTTAAAAATCTTAACCACCTCCAAGCGGCCTCGAACCTGCGATTTCAGAACCAGAACCAGTAGTCTTCACGTGACGCCACAGCCGACATTTGTAAGAAAAGCAATTAATTGCGTTTTATTTTTGGCTTTGGCAATTCAAAGGCTGATGTCGCTGATCGCCTAAGTTCTTCGAAACTCTCGAACTGGTAGGCACATACTAGTTAATGAACTAGTAATTTTTCTAACTGGTTTGGCTTTTCACTGCAGGGTACCTACATACATACATACATATCGATGGTCCTCTGCACCAACGACACAAGTAAAAATTTCATATATTTCAGAAGAATCAATTAAAGATTTTGTGTTTCGTAATTTAGCAAAAATATTACTGGGAACGTAACTATTCCGGATTGGTTGCAGTCATTCTGTAGGGAAAATTTGTAATCTTTGTAAAAGCATGCCCAACCTATCGAGAGTTTTTAACTTATGCCAATATTCACGATAAATGTGAGACATGAGCCACTGTTCAGTAGTAAGGGTTGGCTACGGTTCGGTTTTGTGACAAATGGCAAAACTGCGTCCCTGCCGGATCGGTAACAACTAAGTCGTATGTCGATTTGCCACAGAAAAATATGGTTATTTATAAAACTAATCGTGAAATTTTGAGTTGTGCCGTTATTGCAGAGGTCCATCGATATGTATGTACATGTGTATGTATGCACGTATGTATGTATGTATGTAATTAACACATCTTGGCTTTTGCCGCTTAACGTCTGTCATGGTGCCATCGGTGAATGTGAACTTTCAAAAACAAAAAA